TATGTCTTTTTAGAGAGTTTTTTTTGTCCCAAATTATTTGTCATTTTAGATTTTCAATGCATCATTAATTGCATTATTTTCAATTTTACCCTTTATCACTCTTAATTAGTTAGTTGTAAAATAATTAATGTCAAGGATATATTAGTATTTTCCTATGCTTTTCACTATAAACTATACACATTTATTGATTTTCTTAATACGTGTGCAACAACCCAAAACGTCATTTAAATTGGGACGGAGGGAGTACTTTACAATTCCAATGTTGCATTAATTGTTTATTGTTTAATTTACCCTTATTAACTCTGCAACACTCTTTCAGCATTAATTAATAAATAAGGGTGTTTTGGTCCATCAATGTATATTTTTCCTAAAATCAAGACATATTTATTGAGATTCTTAGGATTTCTGCCAAGATGAAAAACGACACCTATTTAGGAACGGAGGGAGTATAAATAAACATTATTTTCATGGACGCATGCATAAATTGGATGCTATAGTAATCCGTGTTGTCTCGGTCCAAAATATAAATAAACATTATTTTTATTATTAAACTATTCCACGTGAACGATTTTTTTCCCGGAATAAAATGAAAATACCATAACACTTCCAAACATTGCCTAGAAACTTATCCTAGACTAGTAATTTTTACTGCTTACTAATTAATCGCCTTAAAATTGTTCCAAGGTGACGAATAGCTAGGGGACGTTTATACTATACTTTATCTGGTGTAGCATAGAAATAACCGAGAATATATAATTATAAGTTCAATTAAAAGCTAATAATCTCGATTTGATAAATATTTACCGAAAAAAGTATAAGTACAACGGCAAACGAATAAATAATTTGTTCATATTATGCTAGTCTTTTCGAATAGCTTTTGCAAAGTTATTCTTAGCTTTTGGTCTAAAAAAATCATAATTTAATATTTTCGCACCAACTTTTTTACTTTTGATTCCATTAACTAAACTTTAAAACATAATTAGAAGATGTTTATTGTTTTAAACAATTTGATCAATATCAGAGTTAAAATACTATTTTTGCCAAACCGTGTTAAAATAAGAAAAATAAAAATTGGACCAAAATAGACGAGTTCACAAGAAAATCTTAAAATAACCATAGACAATTTTCTTTTTTGTTTTTTCTTTTTAATTACTTCTAAGTATTCAATGTTGCTACAACTTTATTAGAGTTTAGTTTAAGTCGAGATTGTCATACATTGTTAGCTCAATATTATTTATATCTTTTGCATAATTTGTGAGGTATTTATTGTACACAGTGGTTGACACCTATCTCAAAAGCGTGCCGTCTCTATATATCCTTGATTTAAAAAAACAAATTGTATATATTTGAATTAAATGATGTCACATGTTATACATTTATCAAAACAAAAAAAAAATGTCAAACATTGCACTTTTTTTTTTTAATAAAGGAATCCGCAGCCAACCATATATGTGCATTGAATAAACTTTTACTTTCGCATAATAGCTTGAAAATCATACAATACTCGTCAGTCGTCAACATAGGATGTAGCTCAAGTGATAAAGAGTATGTATAAGTTAGGTTACACGGTTCGAATTCTTCGACAAGGTTAAATTGAAAAGTTCAAACTCTTAATCAAATACGCTACTTTGTACTCTCCAACTTAAAAACAAAAAAAAAATCTCTACAATTTTTATTAAGTGATTTATATTTTTTATTTTGCTTAATTTCATCACCCTTGAATATATTCATGGATTCGCCACTGATTGTACGAAGCGATCTTTACTTAGCGAATTTCGAATGGGTGTAGGTTATCTTGTAAATAATTTTTTTCCTACGATAATTTACATTTCAATAAAGTTTTTCTTCATTTTTTCTGCATTTTGCTTTTCATATCTTTTAGTGGCATTCACATAATATATTTTCTCACCGTGTCAAAAAACGAAGAACCCTCCACTCCCACATAGCTAAACGCGTAACCAACGCGTGGTTCACAACCATACAAATAGTAATTAATTAACTATAAATTATAAAAAAATTGATTTACAATATTTATGTGCGTGACGTGGTCGTGTTTGACTTACATTCTTAATCAGGTTCAATTTAAAAAAAAAAAATTAGGGCAAATTGCGATCACCCCCTGAGGTATATCGAACTTACGAAAATCCATCTTGTTTGGTTAATTACAGCCACCACTCTTTTTGAATATTTTTACACAAAATGTATGTAATTCGGTTATTTACCGAACTAAATCATATATTCAGTTCACTAAACGGTATAAAATGTTGGCGTACCGAAATTTCGGTTCGTTTTTACCGATTTAATATCCCTAAAATTACCTCTCGAGGAATTTTTTCGTAAGATAATACATAGTTGAGGGGGTGGGGTGACTGTAATTACCCAAACGTGAGGGGAGTTTTGATAATTTGACCATAACTCAGGGATGGCTGTAATTTGGCAAAAAATATAAAATAAATTAAAAGTTCAGTTATCAAAAAAATGGGAAATTGTTTTAGGGAGGTCCTTCTCAATATTTCTATTGACATAAATTCCCCTATATGCGTTCTTTTAGGCTCACATACCCCCTAATTAGTGAGTGTTTAGGTTTCAGTTTTCTATGTTTTTTCAATTACATCAAGATTTTTTTTTTCAATAAGTAGAATAAATAGATAGATGAGTGCCAATTTAATAATTTTTTTTATAAAGAAGATCAGATATTTTAAATTTTATTTTGTTAATTTATTGGGGACTAGTATAATATTTTCTCCGCATTTGACATTTGATGATGGTGTTTAAGTAGTCAATATTCAATAAGTGGGACTCCATTATTAGTATCTTATTAAAGCAATAAATAACAAAAATTTGAAAAGATATTGTTAATATTAAAATCAAATTATAATTTTTTTTTTTTTATATATATATACATATATATTATATATATATATAGAACTCCATAGATTTTAGCAGTTGCTCAGACTGAACAAATCTAAAGCTACAATGAGACGGCAGGCAAAGTTTAGGCCTCTTCTCACAGCTGTCTTCTTCCTGATCCTCTGCGGCCTCACCTACGGTCGCTTCATCTCCGACCAACCAGATCTCGTCTCCGATGGTGTGGTCCGCGAATCAAAGGTGCCGCACTTCCTCCGCCTCCACGCGGCGGAGGAAACCTGCGAGCAGACCTACGGTTTCTTGCCGTGCACCTCCACCGGACTCGGAAATCTGTTCCTGATTCTGGTGTACGGTTACCTCATGTTCCTCGCCGCAACGTATCTCTCCACCGGTAGTGAGCTTCTTCTCGAGATCCTCGGCCCCGGAATTGTCGGCGGCCTTTTCCTCCCCATCCTCGGCGCGCTTCCCGATGCTATGCTAATTCTCGGTAATTCTACACTTTTTTTCTTTCTCTCTCTAGAAATCGTATTTTAATTGTTACTAATTTACAGTTATTACTGTCAGTCATGAGTATAAATCTGGAGTGCAATATTTCAATTACTGATAATTTATATATGACGAGAATGCGTAAAATTCATTTACATGAAGGAATCGAACAAACAGATTTGAGCTGTGTAAAGATGTTTCATAATATGGCTGTTTGATATTGGGATTAATTGATTCCTTCAAGCATCTTTTGTTTTCGCAAATACGGAGATTCAGATATGCATTGTTTTTTTATTTAATTTACTTGTAATCAGTCTATAATTTGATGAATGATCATTTTCAATGAGTATTTGCTGAAAATTGCTGCTTTTTTTTTCCCTCTAATTTTCAGTTTCTGGACTGTCTGGAAGCGTTGAAACTGCTCAAAGCCAGGTCTCGGTTGGAATGGGGCTGTTAGCCGGTTCAACAGTCATGCTTATTACAGTAATCTGGGGAACCTGTATTATTGTGGGAAAGTGCGATATCGAAAATGATCTTGCCATAGACTCACGAGACACAAAAGGCTTGAGTTTAACCGGTTTGTCTCGATCTTTTTTTTTTTTTTTGCTTACAAGTCTCCCCTCTTTATGAAAGTAGTTCACAGCCTTGCATTTTCTTCTTGTGTTGTTTATGCGTGCGTGTGTATGCTTCGAAATATTTAACTGGTTGCAAAGTTTGATCAAGCTGCTTATCTGTTAAGGCTATAATATTATAATTAAAACAGTTTTGTTTTAGCAACATAGAAGATTCCAAAAGATCGGTCTGTGTAACCAAATTTTAGCAGAGGGTCACGTGACACTGTTGAGATCATTCATTTAGATGACTTGTTTCTTTCGAGGTGCAGAAAACCGTTGTGTTTATTAAAAGAATATTACTGTGTTCGTCTGATTAATAAAATAGGTCAACAACTTGTTCAAGGGGAATCCCATTTACACACAGATTAAACAATATAGTGCATGGAGTACTGTGAAGGTGCACAGTAAGCAATCTTGATGTAACTGCGTGTTAGTTTTCTTGCGTAGTTACACCTTGGGGTTCGTTGGAGAGAATTGATCTTTTATCTTTCCATTTTCTGCTTCTCCTTCTATATTTACCCTGTATTTTTTTTTTTTAATTAGGTGTGCGCAATATCTCACTGTTTACTGGTCCTTGCAGGTTCGGGCATAACTACCGATGTATGGACAAGCTATGCAGGCATTATCATGGCTATATCCGTTATTCCGTTTGTCATAGTCCAATTACCACAAATTTTGCATTCAGATTCAGGCAGGCATTTGTCTGTCTTGATTGCTCTTATTGTTTCCGTGACCTCTCTGATCTCCTACTGTCTGTACCAGGTATTTGCGTTTTTCTAAGCTTAGAATTGTCTACTTGTTTTCATTCCATTTCAAAAGTTTATTTTTTTTCTTTCTTAAGAAACTCTTAGAATCGCCGTGAACTTTGTTTTGCAGGTATTCCAGCCCGTGGTTCAAAGGAGACGGCTTGCTTTTGTAAAACATAAGCATGTCATATCTGGAATCTTGAGACAACTGAAAATGCGTTCCTTGGGAAGACTCTCCACAGACGATGGGAAGCCTAATGAAGAAGTATTGACAAAGTAAGTTTGGGGCTATACTCTGCTCATTATTTACGGGGTTTTTATTTTTGTTTTAGTTCATCATCTTCTCCAATCTCCAACATGACAGGCTGTTTAAAGCTATCGATGAGAATGATGACGGCTTCCTTTCACAGGCAGAATTGAGAGCTCTGATTGTCGGAATCCAATTCAACGAGATTAATATGGACGAGGATGACGCCTTGGCCAAAGTAATCAAGGATTTCGACACCAGTCTCGACTCTCAAGTCGATTTGAACGAGTTCGTCGCTGGAATAGGGAAATGGCTCGAAGAGGCCAAGGGTGCCAGAGGAGGTTCTAACCAGGCTGGTTCAATGAAATACATAGACGACTATCACAAAGTGTGTTGCTTTTCTTTTCTTTTTTTCAAGTTTTTTTATTGATATTTAGATAGTGTTATATAAGATGGTATAATTTCTTTTTGGCAGCAAACGAAGAGAGAGCACGAGCTTTTGGGAGAACAAAGTGACGAGATTGTCGAGGGGGTAGAGAATCCGAGAAGTACTTCGATCAAAGCTGGGCTTTTATTGCTTCTTGGAACTCTCATCGCAGCTGCATTTGCCGACCCTCTGGTCGATGCGGTGGATAATTTCTCCGCTGCTACAAGCATTCCTACTTTCTTCATATCGTTTATTGCACTCCCATTGGCTACCAACTCCAGCGAGGCAGTCTCTGCCATCATATTCGCCAGCAGGAAAAAGATAAGATCTGCTTCCTTGACATTTTCCGAGGTACACCTACTTTTAATACTCCATTAAGTATTCCAGCTCACAACTTATTTATAATCACCGATTAATAATCCTAAAACTTTTTTCTTTTTAAAGCTGTATGGAGCGGTTACGATGAACAACGCACTATGTCTATCAGTGTTCTTGGGGCTTGTTTACGTGAGAGGACTGACGTGGGATTTCTCGTCGGAAGTGCTCGTTATTTTGATCGTGTGCATTGTGATGGGAGTCTTTGCCAGCGTCCGCACTACTTTCCCACTTTGGACTGCTATTTTAGCTTTTCTGCTCTACCCGTTTTCTCTCGCGCTTGTTTATGTTCTTGATTACGTCTTCGGCTGGTCATAGATCTACCTGTGGGGCTTAATTTTTTTTTTTTCAATACAATTTTCTACGAGTTTATGTTTCTGTAAAACTCGATAACAAGTTCTAATTTTCTGGAAAAGACATGCCATCTTTGGTGTGAGGTATGACTTTTTTTACACTCCGAGCTTGTAATGTTTTAAGATTTTCGGCCTTGGTAATTGGTCGTTTGATTAAACGGAAAATAATATTAAGTACCTCTGTTTGATTACGACATGTGATTGTTTAACGTTCTTCATTTCTTTTCGTTTTTTGTGTTGGGATTTTTACGTAATTAAGTTGGATCGCCAAAAGAATTCTCAATAGTAAGAAACATGACTTGCATTAGAAGTTTACAATGACAACATCATTACAAAGCAAAGTAAAAACAAAATCGATAGAATCATGACTTCGTAGGAATGTCGAATTAGCGCTTCTCTTCAACCGAGTGAGGTTTACGTTTTCGTTCCCAAGAATATTCAAAATCGGAAAGTACGACTCTCTACTTAAAACACCATCATTTTCCTAATATTTCTTCTTCTTCTTTTTCTTTTTTCTTTTTTTCTTTTCTAGACAACTTCCTTTTCCGAATCTTGAAAGTGGAAGATCTGATAACTTCGTCATCGGCTAGTAGGGTTTCCTCGAGAACAGTGATTGAATCGGGTTTGGTGAAATAGGTGAAGAGAAGGTATATTCCATCCAAGTATGTGTTACTCTCTCCAGCTCGGTTTTTCTTCCTTATACCGTACGCTAACGGAATTACACCCTTGTTGAACACTGTCACATTCGTACCTCCCCCAGCCACCAACAACTGCACAAACCATAAGAATTCAATTGTTCCTCACTAATTACTCGATTGTCGATACGAACTTCGAAAACAGTCGATTTAGAGTATCAATTACCTTCACACTAACAACTAACAATGTCGACTACAATACGCAGCCGGAAATTTTCATGCGCCGCGCAGTAATAATATATAAGCTCTGATTCTATATCAATTGAACTCATCTTTCCTAACATATAATACACCAAACTTTCAATTCATCACACACACACACACACACACCAAATTACCAAAATACCTGATCAAATAATGTATGTCACACACTGCAATTTAATATTTTTCATCCGAAGAACCCTAAATCTCTACTAGCATATATCAATTTCACCCAAACAAAGAACCCCAAATCTCTACTAAAAGAAAAAAGAAATAATTTTTATTACCTGATTATATTTGTGGGTGAAGTTGAGGCGCTCATCCTCGGACATGTCGGGCCTTAAGACGACCATAGTTTCGTACGTTCGTAGGCCCGGGGGGCACTGTGGCTCCACCTTGTCCCCCATCTCCGGAAACCCCGTCTCCGGTATCTCCGGCGTCGGAGGGGCGGCGCCGCCTCCTAATTCCCTCTCGAAAAATGAGATGTCGAACAGCGCCTTCACGGCGGCGGACGGAGGGTTTGGTCGTATCCCGAGATGGGGAATTTTAATGGGGTTTTTGGAATTGAGAGATGAGAGAGAAGGCGGTTTTGGGTGTGGGTGGGCAAGAGGTGGTTTACGGATCACGACGGCGCGGAAGGAGGTAGAAGCCGACGCCATTGATGCTTAGCTAGCTTGGTGTTGTTTCCCCTTCTTTTCTTGATACTTTTATTAATAGAAAGTTATAAGGATTAATTATTTGAATTTTTACTTTTTTTTTGTCTACTTGAGTAATTTAATAATTTTGTTGGCCAAAAGATCCCTCATCTTCTCAAACGCTACATTTCGTTTTTCTAACTAAATTGAATCAACTGATTTCTGAGTTGTGCTTCAATTGATTGAACTGATTCAAACAGTCAACTAATTCAAAATCAGTTGAATCAACCAATTTAAATCACGACTCGATTGTAAATCAGTTTAAGTGACATAATAAACCAATTAACTATTTTTAAATTAGTAGATCCTAGAGGGAGGGGAGAGGGATAATCGAATCAAATTAGTCTACTAAACTAATTTGTAAGAGTTTTTCTTACAAAAATAAAAATAATAACAATATTTTGTTAAGTTAAAAGAGGGAATTGACAAACTCAAAATAAGTATATGCCCTTAGGGCATATCCGACCGGACGCAATAACGCCATTTTTTCATCTAATTTAGGTGTTTTTAGCTTCCCACTCGAAGTTCTTATATCACCATTACACCTAAAATTATAGAGATTTGGTTTTAGCCTCCCACCGTGGCCAACCCCGATATCACCAAATACTCAAATTCTATTTTTCCACCAAAATTTTTGGTGAAAGAATTTTCATCTCTCACCGGTCCACCATTTTCCTATTTTTTCCACCAAATCCTATTTTTCCTACCAAATATAGAGGTGAAAATAGGATTTGCCGTAATTAACACCATTTTATTAAGTACCATATAAAATGACGATTTTAATTAATTGCACCCGATTACCAACTTATTAACATATTTATCGTAAATACATTGGTATTAATTATTAAACTAGTTTTTAAAATATAAACACATTTGTTATTATTAACAAAATATTAATTCTAATAATATAAATATGCTTATTTTTAATTAATCTGCATATTTTGTTGGTATCAATGTTTATTAGTTCATTTCTTTACTTAACTAATACGCTAATTGCTATTAATAAAATATAATAAGTAACAATAAAATAATTAACGAAACACACTTTAATTGATGAAATACAGGACGAGACATTTGTAGACATTTAATAGAATGATAACATAATTTGTAAATTATATAGTTAAGAAAATTTATCTATAATTAATATTTATGAAATAAAATATTATAAAATTACGATTAAAGATTTACATTTTTTGTGCAAATATGGTGAAATGCCATGGGAGACCAAACCAAATCCCATTTCCTATAAGGGGTGAAATGGTGAAATATTATTATTTTAATATTTGGTCTAAATTTTGGTGAAACCCATTGGAGACCAAAAATACCATTTTTCCACCAAAAATGGTGGAGGAGTAAAATGGTGCGCTACCGGTGGGAGATGAACCCATTTTTTCACCACCATAAATAGGATTTGGTGAAAAAATGGTGAGACCGGTCGGAGATGCTCTTACATCAAAAGAAATTAGGTCCCGTCTAAGGGACTTTTCAATAATCCTATATCGAGTATCAGGATTTGTAAAAAAAAAAAAAAGAAAAAAGAAAAAAAAAACCAAATTTGGGTAGATATACTCGAAACTATATTTTTTTTTTGAAAAATATATAATCTTAACTTGTAACCAAAAGGTCCAAAATTGTTGTCGTCCCTATTGATAATGGTTGAATCATTAACACTAATAGTAAAACTTCAACATACAGAGTCCCCAAAGGATAATCAAGCAGTTGGTAAATCAATTTGTGTTAATTGACCCAAGTTCGAATCAATTTGCCAACGGTCATTAAATCGAGTTTGTCACACGTGAATAGTGTGGTTTACATTCGTCGTATGGTTTGCAAGTTATTATACGATGGTCTAGAGAATTGTGTTTGAATAAACATTTGCAACAATAATCTATCAGAAGGGAAGGAGAATTAGCCTTCGATAAATAACAAAACATGACTTGCAAGAAGTTTGATACAAGAATCATTAAAACCGAACATCATTACAAAAGGTTATGTAACTACACAGGAATGTCGAATTTACGCACCTCCTAATCCGAAATCTGAGGTATACGAATTTGTTCTGTTCACCTCTCTGCCCAAATTTCTACATTGAATAATTCAAAATCGGAAAATAGGTATTATTATTATCATCTCCTCAAAACAGCTTCCTTTTCCTAATCTTGAAAGTCGATGATCTGATAACTTCGTCATCGGCTAGTAGCGTGTCTTCGAGAACGGTGATTGAATCGGGTTTGGTGAAATAGGTGAAGAGAAGGTATATTCCATCCAAGTACGTGTTACTTTCTCCAGCTTTGTTTTTCTTCCTTATACCGTACGCCAACGGGATTACGCCTCTATTGAACACCTCCACGTACATACCTCCACCAGCTACTAGCAACTGCACAAAACCGAAACTTAAGCACACTTTCTTGAAAAATAATTTACTCTTTAAATTTTATTTTTTTGACGTATCTTATTACAAACTTAAGCTACACAACATCTTGAAAAAACCCACAATGCCATTCGCAGTGGCTGAGCCAGTATAGGGCTAAGGGGGGCCATGGCCCCCCAACATTTTTCATGTATAATAGCATTAACCACCCCCTAGAGAAAAAAAATTATGCATTCGGCCCCCCGGACTTGAAATCCTGGCTCCATTACTGCATTTGCAAGAATTGGAGGAGACGAAGCAACTACCTAGACTTGTAAAATCCCAAATTTTTTTTGCGGCACTAATGATTCAATACGAGCTTCAAAATTCGATACGATTCAAAATTGAACCCGAAACCCGAGCTCGAGCCAAAAAAGAATGAACTCGAGCCTGCCTAAAGAGGCGAGCTCCGCTCGTTCACACCCCTAGTATTACCTAGTACCTACAACTAACGAAATCTACTAGTACAATGTTAAACCGGCCATGTGTTTGAGCCGAAAAAAACCGAGAGATATTCATCGCTATACGATCAACCAACCGAACTCGTATTTCCAATCATATGTACACCAAATTCCCAATTCTTTATAAATACATAAATATCTATAATAAAGAACACACATTAAAATGCCACACCCTGCAATTTCAAACACAATGTGGTATTTCTTGTTGTAATAATTAGAAGCAGAAACAAAAAATTAGAAAAATACCTCCTCGTACTTCTGGGTGAAGGCGAGGCGCTCATCCTCGGACATGTCGGGCCGTAAAACGACCATGGACTCGTACTTACGGAGTCCCGGTGGGCACTGTGGCTCCTCCTTATCCTCCATTTCCGGAAATCCCGCCTCCGGTATTGTCGGCATCGGTGGGGAATCGCTTCCACCTAAATCCCTCTCGAAAAACGCTATGTCGAACTGCGCCTTCGCCGGCGTGAACGCTGCTCTCGCTGGGTTCGCTCTTCTACCCATCTGAGGAATTTTAATGGGGTTGCTCGATTTGAAAGGAGAGAGAGTAGTGAGAGAAGGAGGCGAGTACGGGTGGGCAAGAGGTGGTTTGGAGACCATCAGTGCGCAGGTGGAAGGAGAAGCTGACGCCATTGTTGCTTTGCTTGGTTCTTTTCTTTCTTGATGGTAAGAGTAGATAAGGAGAAAACGAGGATAGGAGATAGCCCGCTTTTTAATCTGCGATTCTGTTCTCCAAAGTAAGAAGCGCTCTTTGGTTAAGCACGATTTTATATTCCGGCCAAGAGATTTGAATTTTGATTCATTTCATTTGATAAACCGATGCCTTTTTTTTTTTTCTTTTTTTTTTTTAATTAGTCAATGTAGGGGCGGAAATCGGAATAGAATTTCCGAATTCCGACTCGCAAATATTTGAATTTGGAAATGTATTTTTCATTCCGATTTTCGATCTGATTTTATTCCGAATATTTCTATAGTTTTTTGAAGTATATCTTATATATAAAAGAAAGAAACGCTGGACAAACCTAAAAAACCCTAATGGTATTTCTGTAATTATTTATTTTTAATATTTTTTTCTACTAATTTTTTTACTATAATTTTCAACAATTATCAATCTTCTATTTTTCATCAATATATTTCAAATCTTAAGACATAAAAATAGAATTCGATTTGTTAAATCCTAATCTATATATTTGGATTATAAATCGTAATATGCAATATTTAAAAAAACTAATGTTATATATAATATGAATAATACTGCATTATTAAATTGAGTTTACATTCTGAACGGATCCCCTATTTTTTTGGAGATAAACGGATCCCATTCATTCAATGACACATGGATAATCTAATTAATTGTAAATATAATTGTACTATTAATCTTACCTCAATTAATGATTAATTTTAAAGATTATTTAGAAAATAACAACAATTGTCTTCTGGCGGTAAATTATATTTATTAATTTTTTTTATTTTTTTAACTTATTTAGTGAACTGTTTGGGCAATAGTTTAATACACAAAAACCATAGTGTTAAATCTTTACATTAGAAAAAAAATATTATTAAATATGAATTCAAGAATTTACACTCATTTAAGTTGTATGTTTATTCTTTATTATTATTTTTGGTGTGTGAATTCTTTATTATAATTTATTATTCTCGTATATGATAATTTTTTCGGATTTATTAAAAAAAATCCAAAATAAACATGTTCCGAAAGGGTTTCTAGGAACATACTTCTGGTGAAAAACACCAGGTGCTTCTCATATTAACACGTGTGGGGTTTAGTAATTTAACCATAGGGTTTAATAATTTAACTTAGGGTTTTTAGAAAAATAAAAAAATAGAATTCGAAAATTAATTAAAATGTAAATGCTACTTGATAATAGAAGAGTTACCCCATATTTATCACCAGGAATAGGATCATATGAACCTTCCGAATAATAATGTGTTAAAAGGAAAAGAAAAATTGTTATTTAGAAAAGAAAGAAAAAGAAAAGAAAAAATAATGAAAAAAATTTTATGCGCCTACATAAGGAGGAAGTTTCATGCACTTGCAATTTTAAATTTTTAACTAGGGAGTTTTTAATTTAAAATACTAATAAATTAAGAAACATAAACTGTCCACATGTCACTCAATGAGTGGAATCCGTTTTTCTTATATAAATGGGGGATCCGTTCCAAATTTGCTCCCTATTAAATTTTAGGGATTATTTTGTAGACCCCCCTCATTTCCAAATTATATAGAACTAACTACCAAGTGGATTACACTCTAGGTGAAACCCCCCTCATTTCGAAAATATTTTGACATACCCCCCTGGGCTACCCTGAAGTTCCTATAATACCCTTCTAAAATCAGTTTTAACCCTAGCCACTCACGGTCTCTCTCTTCTTCTCCCAGATTCAAAATCCCGCCTCTACAAACCTCTCACCGGCGAAATTGCTTCCCGGAGCCATAACTCTCTCTCCGGTGGTCGGAATTCGATGGTTTAACTACCGTTGGATTCCTCTCGTCGAGCTCTTTCTTTTGGTGGTGATTTCATTCAGTTTCGAGAGCGGATCTGTTTATGCAATTTTTTTCATTCGAGGACGGTGGTCTTGCCGGAGCTTTATTTTGTGTTCCACCCGTCGAAATTTGACGGGTCATCCACCGTTGGATTCCTCTCGTCGGGATCTATATTTTGATGGTAATTTCGTTTATTTTTATCTTTTCAGATTTATTTCTATATTTTTTGCATTTCCCAGCAATATAACCTCTGTCTCTCTATCTATCGATCTCTTAATGTTTGGTGATTTTTGAGTGTTTTGATGTTTTTATTCAATTTTGTTGATTTGCACTAAAGTAATTTCTTTTTGTTTTGATTTTGCAATTGCAGCTCAATGAAGGCCATTGATCCTTTCCTTGAAGGTGTCAATTTTTTGTTTTTTAAAGTTACATCAGATCTGTTCAACAAACTATATACATTACTATAGTAACATGTAGTTACATATGCGTATATTTATATATTTTCGATTTGTATTTTATTGGTTCTGATGTGATTTATAATAAAAATATTTAAATTTGTAAATTTTTGTTGGGTTTTATGAATTTATTTTGTATAAGTCAGTATTCGTGTGTGTACACAATTGATCGACTAAAAATATGGGGAAAAAACGAACATAACTATGAATTACTATAGGTACTATAGTGATCCGCTCCAAAAACGACGTGGCTGAATGCCTTCCCCGCTATGGCGATGAACCTGCAAAGAAAGGGAAAACGGACTGATGCCGGAGTTAGCACTCCGACGATCAAGTCAGTATATGTAGCAGTGTTTTTGTGGGATGTCTCGTATTATATTTTTGATATGACTTATTTAATACCCATAAAAAACCTCCTTTCCATTTGGGCCTCCAACCCCTTTTATAGTGTTTTGGCGGGATTGCTCCCCAGCTTCCTCGGACCCTGACTCGGAGGACCTGCTTTCGGCGGGGTTTCCCCCTTTCGGCGGTCGGCCCGGGCCATCATGGACTCCCTATTCCATAGGTATCATTATACCCACAAGTCTATCCCCGTGTACTTCCCGGCCGCACATGGTCATTCGATCATTAAATGCTCTTGTCAGAGCATTTAATGGGCCTCTGGGTAAACCTGTCAGGGCATTTATTGCCCCCCCTTTTACCTATTCTATCCCGACTTCTTCCTCCTAGGTCAGGGCCGCGAGTACCTCTTTCCTATCGAGTCCTCGTATCAGCGTAACCCTTTCCTCCTTTTTGGGCTCCGCATTCCATCTTGGGCTCTTCCCTTTTTCGTGGGCCGGTTAGGTGCCCCTTGGACTATTTCTGTGGGCTGGGGTATTTGGGCCTTGCACCTCTGGCCCCGATCCGGGTCAACTAGTCCCCCACTCCGAGTCCTATATCCACGCCCGTGCTTAGGTTTTAGGGCTCGGAGTACTCTATGTTTTCGCACCTGTCTCAATCCGGTCGCACGTCCCCTCGTCTACCTTGTTGGGTCGGGTGGCGTTCTGTTTTCCCCTTGGTGCGTGCCCCTATGCAGCCGTCAGCTCTGCGGGGACTCCTCGTTTCCTGTGCCTCTTTATGAGGGCTGTCTTTTCGACTGCCATGGGGGTCCCTCCCTATTTTTATTTAAAAATCTCCTCTTCTGCCACTTTCTCCTTCCTCACGCCCTCTTTACTTTTCCTCCTATTTCCTCCTTGCTAGTGTGCCCCCCGTTCCCCAGGTACTTTCTGCTTTCCCCTCTTTTCTGTTATTTGCTTACCCGTCTTTCCTGCCCTCGGCAATGGTTTCCCATAGTACCTCTACTTCTTCTTCGGAAAGGACCGACCCCGTCCCTGCTCCTGTGCAGCCTGCTCGGAGGGGCGGAAGGCGTCCGCACCCGAAGAAGAAGGGAGCCCCTTCTCCTTCTTCTCCTCAAACCAGCAAAAAGAAATCCGTAGAGAAACCCACTCATTTCTTAGTGGATAAATTTGACATTGAGGCCCTCTACGCCACCCAAGGTGTGGATTCTTCCTTCCACCTTCTGGTCCCTTCTCGTTCCCAATCCTCTTCTAATCCTCCCCCGGGTTACCTCACCTGGTACCTTGACCAGTTCAAAGCTGGCCTTACTCTTCCCCTGCATTCCTTTTTCCTCGACCTGGGTCGTCTATATAAGATTCCCCTCCAGCTCTTCCACCCTAACGCCATCAAATTCATGTCATGTTTCTACATAGTTTGCGTCGGTACGGGCGTAGACCCTCGGCCGGAACTGTTTTTTACCCTCTTCACCCATAACCGGTCCCCGTCCGGCTATTATCACTTGTCCTCGTGCATCGGTCGCCTTTTTGCCGGACTGGTGACGAAGATTGATTCCTGGCAACGGCGCTTCTTCTTTGTCCGCCCGCCTTCGGCTTGGCCTTTCGACCCCACTCCCCCTCCTAAGTCTCCCAAGCGCGTCACCCTCAGTGTGGACTTCGAGGACGAGATCGCAGGCCTATTGGCCCGCGTCCGTCCCCGCGCTTGGAATGTAGAGAAAATCATTAGTAGCCTTCCCCTTTTTTCTCGTGCCGGTTTGTGGCAGATACCCTCCTTCGATCGCCGTCCTTGGGGTATACCTACTTTATTTTCTTTCTCGCCCGGGTTTCAGATGTTACTCGGATGGTTACATATGTGTTTTTTTTTTTTTTTTTTTTTTTTTCAGGCATTTGCCTCTTCCTGATGTGCGTCCTGACCCCTTTTGTTTGTATTTTTCTTCAGCCGAGATGATGATCGACATGCTTCTGGAACTGGCCGAAGCAGAGAAGAAAGATGCCGGGACCTCAGCCCCGGAGGTCGCAACCGGGGTTGCGACCGAGGCTTCCTCCCGGGGGCTCGAGCTACCTTCGCACAGCTCCAGCTCTCCCATTCGCCCTTTGTCCCCTTCTTCCGGTCTTCCATTGCCTGCTCCTGAGGCCATCATCGAGCTCTTAGACAGCGAGACCGAGCTCCGGGACCTAGCTATACTTCCCAGTGGAGATCTTGGCCTCGAGGAGGCCCAAGGAGAGTCTGCCGAGACAAGTTCCAAACGTCTCGTTCCGAGTGGCTCCACACCCCCTCCGAAGAGGGATCGTCTAGAGCTACCTTGTCTGTTTACCACCTCGGACCTCGAGGGGTCGGCGGATCTTGTGCTCCATCAACTATCCAAAGCCCAGGCTCCCGGGGATTCGAACTTCCTTCAATCTCTGCCCCACTCCTCCCAGCGGGCTAAGTTAGCTTTGTGCTTGGCGCAGGTACGTGATCCTCTGGTCGTTTGCAGTTTTGTTCGATTGGTAAAGGCCTACATTAATATTCATTCCTTCTTTGCAGGCGAGTTCCATTCTGGCTACGGGCTTCGGCAAGGAAGACCCTTCCGCCCGAGATCTTGCCTTTCAAGAGCTGAACGAGCGGGCTACCAATGCTCGTACGGCCCTCGAACGGGCCACTTCGCGTATTTATGCCCTCATGACCGAGAACGGCGTTCTGCTCCGTCAGTGCGAAGTCGCCGAGGAGAAGCTCGAGGACGTGCAGTCCAAATTGTGTGAGGCCCGGAGTGTCTTGGAAGGACGAGCCGTGCGAGCGGAGGAAGAACTGGCTCGCACAGTGCAGCGTATGGCGTCCCGCGAGCGGGAGTTTCAGGACGAGCTGGATCGTCGTCTGGCGACTGAGCGAGAGAGGAAGCTAGGGGAGCTCCTTGCGACTGCTGAGGGTTTGGCCGTTCTGGACCAATACCGGGTTAAGCTGTTTGAGCGGTACCCTCATACAAAGCTGTTCCTGAAGGATGCTTGTCCAATTGGCATGTATTATGTCAAACAGACGATAGGTGCCTGCGAGGCTATAGCCGAAGAGGCGAAGACTCCTGTTCGCTATGAGCCCTCGGCCGTTCTGGGCAAGATAAACAGGACACTCCCTCTCTGGAAGGGAGACCCTCGCGAGCCTATCAATTATCCCTGGTGGCAACCGATTACCGAGGGTTTGATTTCCTCCTTGGGTTCTGGCGACGCAGGCCCTCTTGCCCCGGTCGACCCCTCTTCCGCTCCCGGGCCTTCGAATGCTCCTGAGACGAGTGCTGGTCCTGCATCTTCGGCCCCCATTGCTCCCTCCGACCCTGTTGGGCCTTCGGCCCATCGATCTACCTCTTCTTAAAGACCTCTCTATTATGTATTTTTTTTTCTTTTTTTTGTGTAAGGGTTTTTCCTTTTATGTTTTTCTCTCTCCCTTTTTGTTTATGAAGTTTCTATGATTTTGCCTATTTTCCTGTTATGTCTTGCGATTACATTTACCGTTCGTTCTCCTTTTTTAATATGCGTCTCTGGTTACGATTCCGGCAGTTCTCGAGTTCTGCCTTATGTTCATAAGTTATACTCCATCACGTCGCTCTACTCGGAGCTCGAGCTCACCGAGTTTTCCATAAGTTCTCGATTACGATTCTGGCGAACTCGGGTTCTACCTGAATCGGAATACTTATGTTCATAAGTTTTATTCTTTCATGTCGCTCTACTCGGAGCTCGAGTTCATCGAGTTTTTCCATAAGTTCTCGATTACGATTCTGGCGAACTCGGGTTCTGCCTGAATCGGAATACTTATGTTCATAAGTTTTATTCTTTCATGTCACTCTACTCGGAGCTCGAGCTCATCGAGTTTTTCCATAAGTTCTCGATTACGATTCTGGCGAACTCGGGTTCTGCCTGAATCGGAATACTTATGTTCATAAGTTTTATTCTTTCATGTCACTCTACTCGGAGCTCGAGCTCATCGAGTTTTTCCATAAGTTCTCGATTACGATTCTGGCGAACTCGGGTTCTGCCTAAATCGGAATACTTATGTTCATAAGTTTTATTCTTTCATGTCACTCTACTCGGAGCTCGAGCTCATCGAGTTTTTCCATAAGTTCTCGATTACGATTCTGGCGAACTCGGGTTCTGCCTAAATCGGAATACTTACGAGTTCGAAGAAGTTGGGGAAAGCTTGATGGACATTTTCTCTAAGAGACAAAAACAAAAGAAAGAGGGGTTTTCCTTACACCCGTAGTTTACAAAAGTCCCTGCTACTGATGTCTTCGCATCTTAGCAGGGTATATTTTTTCCTTTTCAAAAGATATAGATAGATCGGTATTTTATGTGAAGTATTTTTTAAGATGCCCTATGTTCCACGGCCGCGGGAGCTTCTTCCCTTCTACGCTCGCCAATTCGTATGCCCCTCCCTTTAATACCTTCTTTATCACATATGGGCCTTCCCAGTTAGGTTCCATCTTTCCTACGGCTTTCAAAGCGTCCGCTTGTTTGAGCACCAGATCTCCGATCTGAAACAGTCTCTTCCTTACTCTCTTATCGTAGGCGTTCTTGATTCTTGCTTTGTTGGTTTCCATGCGTACTGTGGCTTGCTCCCTTAATTCCATGACCAGATCCAGCTCCATTCTCAACCCTTCATTGTTTCTAGCGTTGCTACAATCCTGCATTCGACTAGACGGGATGCTGATTTCCAGCGGTATAACTGCCTCCGAGCCATGCACTAGAGCGAACGGTGTTTCTCCGGTTGCCTCTTTGGGTGACGTTCGGTGTGCCCATAGGACCGAATGTAGCTCTTCCACCCAATTGCCCTTCGACTTTTCTAGTCGCTTTTTGATACCTTCCATTAGAATCCTGTTCGTCACTTCTACTTGCCCATTTGCTTGTGGATGGGCTACCGCCGCGAATCTTTGCATTATCCCTAAGCCGCTGCACCATCTCGTTATCCTCGCCGAATTAAATTGGGTACCGTTATCCGAAATGAGGTTCTTTGGTATCCCGTACCTACAACATATGTTCTGCCAAATGAATTTCATGATCTCCGTATGAGTGATTCTCGCCACGGCCTCTGCTTCGATCCATTTGGAGAAGTAATCAGTGGCAACCACCAGGAACTTCCTTTGCCCTGTTGTTATTGGCAATGGTCCGACGATGTCTATTCCCCATTGTAGGAAAGGGCGAGGTGCGTCCATTATGGTCATTTCTTCTCCTGGCATATGTATTCGAGGTCCATACATTTGACACTTATCACAGGCTTTGACGAACTGGATTGCATCTTTCCTCATTGTGGGCCAGAAATACCCTGCTCTTAGCAGCCGCATGGTCAACATTCTTCCACCCGCATGGTCCCCGCAGCAGCCTTCGTGCACTTCTCTGATCGCGCACAATCATTCCGCTCTGCTCAGGCATTTCAAGTGAGGTCTCGTGAACCCTCTTTTGTACAGCAGACCACAATCTAGGCAGAACCCCCTACTTCTTGCCACAAGCTTGCTCTGTTCTCGCCGACATGGCAGTTCGTACCCTCCGAGGCATCGAATGATGTCCATACGCCAGTCGTCCGCGGCGCTCGCGACGGCCACCTCCTCGCATCTCCGAGGGTGTCCTTGGAGGATGGTTATCCTTCTGCTCCCACACTCTGTAGATAAGCTTCCTACCCTAGCCAAGAAGTCTGCTCTCTCATTCTCACTTCTTGGGATTTGTTTAAGAATTATCCTACGAAAGTTCGACGATAGTCTTTTCGCTTTGTCGCAATAGTCCCCCATCCTTTCGTCTTTTGTCTCGAATACCCCTTTCATTTGTTGGACCACTAATTGGGAGTCGGAATACACTTCTAGACAGTCCGCCCCCGCTTCTGCTGCCAACTGGAGGGCGTATATTAAGGCCTCGTACTCTGCCTCGTTGTTGGAGGCCCGAAAGGTCAGCCTGACCGCATACTCGTATTCTTCTCCCGTGGGGCTGACTAGCATAATCCCAGCCCCGCTTCCGGATTGATTAGATGATCCATCTATGAAAACATTCCATTCGGCCTCCGGCTCTTTTCGTATTGTCTCTTGCAAGAACTCAGCTAGGGCCTGCCCCTTAATCGCAGTGCGGGATTCGTATTCGATATCAAATTGGCCCAACTCGACCGCCCATTTAACCATCCGCCCTGACACGTCCATCCGGCCCAGTGTGCTTCTTAATGGGAAGTTGGTTCTCACCACTATCGAATGCGACAAGAAGTATGGTCTTAACTTCCGGGCGGTAACGACAAGCGACATCCCTATCTTTTCAATCTCCGCGTACCTCCTTTCCGCCCCTTTGAGCATTCGACTCACATAATAAATAGGACGTTGTACCCCTTCGCGCTCGCTTAGGAGCACGGCACTTACGGCCTGCTCCCCGGCAGCCAGGTATACATATAGTTTTTCTCCTGCTCTTGGCTTCGCGAGTAGGGGAAGACGGGCCAGGGTTTCCTTCAACTGCTCGAAGGCGTGATCGGCCTCTGCACCCCATTCGAATTGATATCCCTTGCGTAAGATTTTGAAAAATGGGTAGCTTGCATCGGCAGCTCGGGAAATGAAACGACTTAGTGCGGTGATTCTACCTGCGAGTGTTTGCACCTCCTTTATGCTCTTAGGCGGTCGCATATCCATCACCGCCCGAATTTTCTCTGGGTTTGCCTCGACTCCTTTTTTGGTCACCATATATCCTAAGAACTTTCCTGCCTCTACCCCGAATGCACACTTGAGCGGGTTAAGCTTCATGCCGTACCTTCGCAGTGTTGCGAATGTTTCCTTCAAATCTTCGATATGACTCTCGGCCTCCTCACTCTTGACAAGCATGTCATCCACATATACCTCCATGTTCCGACCCAATTGTTCGCGAAACATCGTGTCCACTAGCCTCTGGTAAGTTGCCCCAGCGTTCTTGAGGCCGAACGGCATCACGACGTAGCAATATGTTCCCGTGGATGTAACGAAACTTACGCTCGGCTGGTCCCTTTCGCTCAGTCGTATCTGGTGGTATCCCTGCGAGGCGCCCATCATACTCAGCATTGCGCACCCCGCCGTGGAGTCTACCAATTGGTCGATCCTCGGCAGTGGGTAATGGTCCTTGGGGCAGGCTTGGTTCAGATCCCTGAAATCTATGCACATCCTCCACTTCCCTTCCGCCTTTTTGACGAGCACCGCGTTTGACAGCCAGGTCGGGAATCTTATTTCTTTAATATGCCCGGCCTCTAGCAATTTCCGCACCTCTCCTTCGATAATTTTGTCCTTTTCTGGCCCAAAATGTCTCCTTTTTTGCTTGACTGGATTTGCCTCTGGCCTCAGGTTTAGCTCGTGGACCACCACCGTGGGGTCGATCCCTTTCAGATCTTTAGGAGACCATGCAAACACGTCCTGATTTAGGCGCAAAAAGGTTGATAGTTCCTCTGCCATGTCCGCGCTCAACGCGGTTCCTATTTTGGTAGTCCGGGTCGGGTCGCTTAGGTCGAGCTGGATCACCTTCAGCTCCTCCATTGGCTGGACATGAGCCTCCTCTTTTTCCTCCGGGTCCACCCGAGGCCTTTTCTCCTCCGCTCTTCCGATATCATCGCACCCATGCCGCGTGGCTCCTTTATCCCAGGCCATGGGGTTGATGCGTCGTTGTCCCCTGAGGGCCTGGTTGTAGCATCTCCTGGACGTCTCCTGATCTCCTCGTACTTCCCCGACTCGATCAAGGACAGGGAACTTCATTTTCATGTGAAATGTGGACACGACGGCCTCAAATGCATTCATTGAGGGTCGCCCCATTATCATATTGTAGGAAGACGGGGCATCGATAATTAGGAACCTTACCGCTCGCGTCGCTTTTAAGGGGTCGGTTCCTAATGACACCGGGAGAGTAACCTCACCCATCGGTTGTACCACCTCCCCTGCAAATCCTATAAGGGCCGTATCCACTCTCCGTACTTCGAAGTTCAGCCGCATTTGTTTAAAGCATTCGTAATATATTATGTCCGCCGAGCTGCCTGTGTCTACCAGTATCCTTGCTACGTCGTAGTTTGCTACCATGGCCGTGATTACTAGGGCGTCGTTGTGCGGCTGTTGTATCCCTGTCTCATCTTCTATCCCAAAGGTGATAGGTGGGGCGATGGATACCCTATACATCATCGCGAGCTCCCCTCTTAACTCCTGTAGTTCTCGTAAGTGGGCCCTTCGAGACCGATTCGAATCCCCACCCATAGGGCCCCCGAATATGGTGTGAATGTAATTGTTGGGAGGCTGAGGGTCGGTGTCCTTCCCCGGCCTGCCTGGAATCTGTGCACTGCCATTTCCTCCCTTCCGTGGGTATTTGGCAGTGGATCTCGGACTATTCTCAACGAACTCCGAGAGATTCTTCATCCTGATTCGTCTCTCGATTTCATCCCTTAGGTGTTGACATTCGTCGGTAGAGTGTCCATGCTCATTGTGGAAACGGCAATAAGGTCCAGCACTAGCGGGCTTCTTTGGGACTTCTGAATAGGTACGCGGCCACTTGAGTTTTGGATGATTCACAATGGCCGTCAAGATCTCTGATGGGGCGGTGCTCAAGGGGGCATAATTCTCAAAACGGGGTCCTGCGCGCCGTTCCGCACCCACTTCCTTGCGTGGGAACAGCTCTTGCTTCTTCACCTCCACTCAGCTCTTATCCCTGCGTTTGTCGCTCTCTCTCCGCCCAGGACCCCCGGTCGCCTCACTTGTCGGGACCGGCTCGAAGGTCCTGCTCCGACGCGCTTCCTCTGCATTGATATATTTTTCAGCTCTCCGGAGTAGGTCGTTGAAGGAAACGGGCGCTTTTTTGGAGAGGGAATCGAAGAACTCTCCCATTTGCAGGCCCTGTGCCAGGGCGTTGATGAGGACCTCCTCGCTAGTGACAGGCACTTCAAGGGTCGCCGCATTAAACCTCTGCACATAGCTCCTCAAAGGCTCGCTGTCTCTCTGCCGCACAGCGAACAGGGTGAGTGTGCTTCTTTTCTGTTTCTTGGAGCTGGCGAAGTGGTTCAAGAACAGCTCGCTGAACTGGGTGAAGCCGTCCACCGAGCTTCAGGGCAACTGGCCGAACCACCTTTGGGCGGGACCCGCTAGGGTAGTCGCGAAGACCCTGCACTTTACTCCATCCGTTAGCTTATGAAGGGAAGCGGACGTGACAAAGCGGGACAGGTGCTCCCAAGGGTCCGTGGTCCCCGTGTATTCATACGTGACGGGCCGATAGGTGGCTGGCAGCTCGCCATATTGCAGCCTTGCCGTGAAGGGGGTTCCCGCCATTCCCTCGCTTTCTGACGGCGGCAACATTTGGAGCTCATCATCCTCCATCGACCTCCCGGATTGTGCATCCGATTTTCGTTTTTCCCCGGTGGCGCCTCCTCCGCCTTCGGAGGGCTTGCCCTGGGCCGCAGCCGAGATTAACGCTTGGAGGTGCTCTACCGTAAGGGTTATGGTGGTGCCTGCTCCTTCCAATGAAGAACTGGCGATACCTGGGGTGGGCTCCTCCGGCGATCCTCCCGCCGGGGCTCCGCGACTGCTGACGGGCTTCGGGAGAGGAGTTACCTCCCCTTCTAATAGATTTGATAAATTACGAGCAACTTCCTGGGTTGACGCCATAGGAAGTGTCGGTGTACTTTTAGTTGCGTGTTCCCACAGACGGCGCCAATTGATCTGCTCCAAAAACGACGTGGCTGAATGCCTTCCCCGCTATGGCGATGAACCTGCAAAGAAAGGGAAACCGGACTGATGCCGGAGTTAGCACTCCGACGATCAAGTCAGTATATGTAGCAGTGTTTTTGTGGGATGTCTCGTATTATATTTTTGATATGACTTATTTAATACCCATAAAAAACCTCATTTCCATTTGGGCCTCCAACCCCTTTTATAGTGTTTTGGCGGGATTGCGCCCCAGCTTCCTCGGACCCTGACTCGGAGGACCTGCTTTCGGCGGGGTTTCCCCCTTTCGGCCGGTCGGCCCGGGCCATCATGGACTCCCTATCCCATAGGTATCATTATACCCACAAGTCTATCCCCGTGTACTTCCCGGCCGCAGGTCATTCGATCATTAAATGCTCTTGTCAGAGCATTTAATGGGCCTCTGGGTAAACCTGTCAGGGCATTTATTGCCCCCCCCTTTTACCTATTCTATCCCGACTTCTTCCTCCTAGGTCGGGGCCGCGAGTACCTCTTTCCTGTCGAGTCCTCGTATCAGCGTAACCCTTTCCTCCTTTTTGGGCTCCGCATTCCATCTTGGGCTCTTCCCTTTTTCGTGGGCCGGTTAGGTGCCCCTTGGACTATTTCTGTGGGCTGGGGTATTTGGGCCTTGCACCTCTGGCCCCGGGCCGTGACATCCTCCCCCGCCTAATCCGGCGACGTCCTCGTTGCCTCGAACAAGTGGAGACGATCTTGAAATTGCCACAAGTCTTCCTTCGTCTCCCACGTTGCCTCAGACTCGGGTAATCCCTTCCATTTGATGAGGTATTGAAGGCTCGGTGGAACTCCCCTACGTCGCTTCAATTGTCGGCCGAGCACTTCCTCGATCTCCTTATCGTATGACTTAGTCATGATGGGTGGTGCTCGGTGCGACTCTCCTCGTCTCGGGTCTTCCTTGTCTTCGTGATAAGGCTTCAACATACTCACATGGAAGACCGGAGAACACCTATGACTTCAAGGTGGTGCTAGGCATGGACTTCTTCCGCAAGGTAACGGCTATCCCTATGCCTTGTTTCAATTCGGTTTGCATATTAGGGAAGGGAACACCTTGCATGGTGCCGGCCATCAACGGCACCACTAAGGAAGAAAGCACGCAACCAAGGCAACTGTCGACCACACAAGTTGCCAATGGAGTTCGACGGGGCGAGCCAACATTCCTAGCCGCTTTAAGGGAATACAAACCGAGAAAGGTGAATGTTGTGGCCATATATATATATATATATATATATATATATATATATATATATATATATATATATATATATATATATATATATATATATATATATATAACAACACATTTATAAAAAAAAAATTAATAATAATAATAAATAAATCAGCGAAAATGATAAATGCAGGACCATAAATGCTGAATGCAGTTTGGCCGAAAATTGCAAATAAGGGTAGTATAGTACTTTCGCTTCCCCAGGTGGGTATGTCAAAGGATGATTTGGACTTGGGTTTATCCCTAGTTTATTTGGTGGCTAGGGGGGTATGTAAAATAACCCCTAAATTTTATTATGTACTATATTTTCTTATATATGTATTAAATTGATTAATTTTTTTCAATTTTTAAATAATATCCCGTGCATCGCACGGGGAAAAAATGCTAGTATTGTATAATTTTATGAAATATTCTACATTTGTTTATATTTATTGCATTTTGTCAAACTCTCTTTATGCTAGTATTGTATAATTTTATGAAATATTCTACATTTGTTTATATTTATTGCATTTTGTCAAATTCTCTTTTTCCGAGGTGATCCAAAATCGTAATGAATTTTTGCATCTTGATTTTTTCGGAACAGAAATTGGAACCCATTTTTTTCTTTTGAATTTTTTTTGGAAATGTTCCAAAAAAGTCATTTCGATCCATTCGTCCGATTTCCACCACTAGATCGATGATTAAGTATTTTCTCCCAATGCAATAAAATCAAGACATTTTACATGGGAATGCAAAAATAAAAACAAGAATTATTTTATTAATTAAGCACAATATATTAACCTATAAAAATAAATAAATAAACAATTTCAATAAATCGATTACGCCTTAGCAGTAATTTGGAAACCTATACTGGTATTTTTTCATGGACATTCTACGAAATGTAAAGGTATTCCGAAAAGCCAAACAAAAGTTGCACATTATCAAGCTTCTAAAGCTTCAGTTTGAGATCAATCCATTCTCCCGTTTCTCCGTTGCCATTCTTTATACTCTTCGATGTTTCGTCGGTGTTTGACTTATCTGGGAAGAAGCTAAAAGTATGATCAACTTGGCTTCTTAGATTTTCCTATCAATTTAATAAATGAGAAATTTTAGTCAAAAAAAAATAAAAAATCGATTTTTTTAAAATTAAAAAAACCGATTTTTTTTTAAATAAAAAAAAAATCGAAGGATGAATAATTATTTGCAGGGCACCTGATCCGAGTTCAAAGGCGGATGAGGAGGAGAAGCAGCCTTAGGAGGAGCCAATGTTAAAAAATCTCGATTTAGCTTCCCATCCCTGAGACGTCAGTGAACGAAATGCTGTCAGGATTCACACACACACACACACACACACACACAAAAACACGAAAAAAACCCCGTAAAATAACATGTTTCTAAAAAGCGAATGAACCTGACGAATTTATTTATTGATTCGATTTTAGCTGTATGCCCACTGTTACTAGAAGGTAATTCGTCTGATGTTGATTTTGAAGGAGCGAAGATAGGATGAAAAACAAAGGGGAAGGTATACGTCGGTGGAATTTCTAGAGGAAAGGGGGATGGCCTCTTCATGCCAATCATCTACATTGCATCACAACAATATTGAGAAATGCAAAAAAAAAAAACTCGAGCAACCATATAATGAACGGAATCGCAGTTCAAAACAATCTTCGATTTTTGAAATATACCGTATCTACTATCATGACTTATAGAATAAGAAAACAATTGAATCGTACAACACTTTTACTCAAGATGCACCAAGTCGAAGAAACTCAAAAACAAGAAACGGAGGAAGAACGAAATCTTGAAAAGCGAAAAAAAAAACAAGTAAATATATTATATATATACATACCTTATCTTCCTCTAGAGACGAAGATGTATAGTCGCTATTGTAAGGAAGAATTTGGTTTGAAGGGAGCTCCATTTGGGAACTTATTAGTGCTGATGGTGAATTAATCTCTGTGGACGCATTCACCTGTAAAATTGTCGATTAAATAATTGTTCAAATCAATACAAATGAAAAAAAAAAACAATGATATATATAAGAAATTTGATATTCTGCAATACAAAACTCACAGAGTATGATCTAGACTCAAACTAACCACTGAAGAAGAAGGTTGCTGAATCTGATGTGATCTCTGAGGCACATTATTCAGAAGAGCCGATAGAAACGGGGAGTTCGTCGATTCGTTCCGTAACATCGATTCCCCATGAAACGTAAACCCAGGATCAACCTTTTGCTTCTTTTTGCTGCTGTTTCGAACACTCGAAATCGCCTCGGTGCTAATTTCTGCGCCGCCTTCGTTTAATTGATGATTAGTAATACGAAATGGGGCTGAATTAGGCGGCGGTGGATCGAAATCGGGGGTTTGAACACTTACGAAACGATAACCAGGGGATGATAATTTTAGGGCATCCCTCTCTCGTTGTTCCTCCAATCTAATTTTCTCCAATTGCGCCACGCCTAACCCTCTCTGCGGCACTTTTTTTGGCTTACCGTTTTTCGATGGTTTATTATTGCCGCCGCCACCGCCGCCACTTCCGCCGCCGGCGCTGTCACAAAGGCTGCCGGTTAGGGTTTGTTCCTGATCTTCCTGTGCCATTTTTTCCTCTTCCAATCCAATCCATCGAAGAAATGTTTGACTTTAAAGGGAGAAAATCAAAAGGGGGCTAATTGTAAATGGTAAGTGATCCACCGAATCCCAACGATTTTCCTAGATTTCCAAAATTCGATTTTAAAATTTTTTTTAAAAAATTTTTCTTTCTTAGATATAGAAAATCCTTGTAAGAAAAAAACATGAAAAAATCTGAGAGGGTTTGAAAAATGTGAGAGAATTCAACCCACCCACACAATCTACATCATACAGATCACAAAAAATCTCGAATGTAGTGGAGTCAAGATTGCGTGTATGTGTATATATATATGGAAACAACGAACAATAGATATACATATATAGACACACTCACACACTTACCAAATGAAGCAAATGAAGATAGAGAGAAAGGTAAGCACAAATTAGTTTTTTTTTTTTTTTTTTTTTTTTTTTTAATTTGAATCCAAATATTCGCGTTTTTGTTAGACAGAAATCGAAGAAGAGAATTCAATTTCAATTCCATCATCGTTTTCAAAATTCAATCCTTTGAATGAAAATCTAAAGCCCTTCTCACTCAATCTAACTTCTCGCCCAAATCGTCGCTCCATTCTTTGTTTTTAATTTTATTTGAAAAATAATATAATATTCGACTTTTTAAAAGAATAATTCACCTCCAAATATTATTTTCTTTATTTTTAATAGGGCAAAGTACAGTTTACCCCCCTGAACTATAAGGGTTATACCAGTTTGCCCCCCTGAACTATAAAACGTCCCAAATACCCCCCTCGAGTTTATGGTCAACCATTAAATTATTAACACTTTTAATTTAAATGTGCCATTACTTTTCTGCCCTTGGGGGTTTGTTGTAAGAAACTTAACAATTATAAAATTAATACGTGTTGGATTTGTCGATTTTGTTATGAATTTGTGACGAAGTAAATTTATGGTTTGCATGATTTTCTTAATTGTATTTAATTTTTGGATTCAATATGTTTGCTAATTGTCCTTTTGTTCAATTTTGTGCATTTTTTGTTTATGCCCTTAATTAAATGCATAACTTTGGGGGTGATTTTTGTGCATTATAAGATGTCTTGTACCACGAAGTACAAAAATTTTGTGTTACTCGACATTTTAATAAATTTTAGAAGAAAAAAACAGTGGCCTTTTAGTGGTTAATAATGAGAAGAAAAACGGAAATACGAGAAAATAAACCCGAAAATATAGAGCAAAAAATCTTGACAAAATAAAAAAAAATTCAGTGAAAAAGCTTTAATATATATATATATATATATATATATATATATATATATATATATATATATATATATATATATATAATTGAATAGAGGGGCAAAGTAGTCACAAAATGTCCAAATGTATAAAAGATAGCTAGAAATTATAAAGTCAAAGTGCCACGTCAGCATTTACAAATAAAATTTAAATATATGGGGGTATTTGGGACGTTTTGTAGTTCAAGGGGGCAAACTGGTACAACCCCTATAGTTCAGGGGTGTAAACTGTACTTTGCCCTTTTTAATATTATGACTGAATGCCTCGCTCCATTCTTTGTTTTTAATTTTATTTGAAAAATAATACAATATTCGACTTTTTAAAAGAATAATTCACCCCCAAATATTATTTTCTTTATTTTTAATATTATGACTGAATAAATGTGTTCGACTTTTTAAACAAATACTAATTTTGCATTAAACTCCATGTTTTGTAGAAAATAGGCACAAAATTTCATATGTTACGAAAAAATTGCATAAAATCCACTCTACAGTTGACGGCTTAACTATTAACCTATGTAGCACGGACATGCAAAACGGCGATACGGGGAAAAGGGAATACGGGGAAACGGCATGTTCCGAAAATGAGGATACGGGAACTTGAGGGAAACGTGTAAATATTAAAAGTATAGGGGTATATTTACAAATATTATATATAAACATATATAAATTTTTATTTATATATAAATTCTTTTTATATACTTTTGTAAAAATATATTCAAAATAAATTTTACTATCAACTATCATTCTATCAATTTGCAATTGATCATTAAATTATGTAAATAATTTGGGAAACAACAAAAATATTTGAAATTTTTTATTCAAACATGTTTCAAACTTTTTAGAAATTGAAAAATGGTCTATAAGATGTCCTACATGCGTCTTTAAGTTTTCGACACGAAACGCTTCCGAAACACGGAGACGTTAAGAAGTTGGAATTCCGGTGATACATAGTTTAACGATAAAAACGGATTTCATGCAAAGAAAAACGAAACACGTGGGGCTTTTACGCATTAAAACAAAAAATAGGGGTTTTGGTGCAGGTTTTGCTAAATACAGGGGGATTTTATGTTGTTCACCCTCTAAAAATTAGACCATTTTTATAAATAAAATGATAAATGCTAATATACTATCTGATATGCCTAATTGGGTAAGCTCAATAAGCTTACAATCTCTCTATCTACTAGGCCACGAACCCATTTAGAAGAACACCATTACGAAGACCCAATCACCTTCAAATAAGATTTGGGCCCAACAAATTAGTCTCAACCCAATCGACAAGGTATAAATAACGATATAATTCATTTATTAAAGGTACAACCTATTATCTGGACAATTCTACAATTAATATTCTCTCAACTACATCGACTATCCGCACGTCTGACTTGAGCGTCAGAGGGTTTCCGCCGGATCAACCCCGACTTATATTACGTGTTTTTTGTTCGCATGATTCTCATGTTAATTAAGGTGTCTTAGGACCATCTAACTCGTGAGCATGTGATCCACCTTGCTCTCCCAACTCTTTCCACTCCAATACCCCTAGTGATCAATTTCTAGCATCATCACTATCGTACTATGATGAGTATATATCCATCACTATGGATGTGCAATGTACGCTACGATTCGATGTTTGGCTAAAATCGAACATGAACTAAATATATAGAAAAAAAAAGAAAAAAAAAGTTGTAAGAGTTGATTTGGATAGAGGGATTTCAAATCCATAATAACAATCCCTCGAACTTGTTTGAATTGAGGGATTCGATGATGAATTTCAAATCCACACTCCTCCTTTTAGTTGTTTTTTGAACAATTGGTGTCAATTTTAAATGACTCCAAATTAAAATCATTTTAAATGACTCTAAATTGAAATCATTTCAAATCCCTTCTCCAACTCAAATCCCCTCAAAATCCTTCTATCCAAAACACACTCTAAAATTATAAAATCAAATACGTCGGTTATATAATGGACCGGTTGAATTCGGTTCCACTTTGTGTTTGGGTTATTATTATTTTTTCCCGGTTCAAGATAAACCATTTGTTTTATTTGTATACACAAACAACCAAATTATATTTTTGTTTTAACTTAACTATATTATGAAGGCGTAGAAAAACTCAAATAGAATACAACATAACATAAATATTTAAATGATAAATATATGTACTAACGTCAATTTACTTTCATCAATCTCATAATTGAAATTATGTAATATATATGATTCAAATCACAATGCCATTCTGAATAAATAAAATAATAAAAAAAAAAATTACAATGCCATAATTTTATGCACAAGAGTTTGGTACTTATAGCCAAACTAAAATTATGGGACTAATAGTAGTAACATTAAAAGTAAAAAAAATATGGTAAATGGTGTTGTTTCCGGTATATAAAACGGATAGTGAATTTAGTAAAATGGTCGAACAAATTAATTAGTGAAAATACGAAAAGATTAGTCGAGGCGAGAAAACTCTTTCCTTAAGACAATAGTGCCCCGCTACGGTGCTTACGGTTATTTGGCAATGGTCTCCCAAGATACAACGGCTAACTCGGCATATGAGCACTCAAAATCCCGAGTACAACGAACGTTACTTTGTGTCTCAAACTCTCGAATCGAATACGGAAGAAAATATTCTACGAAGAATATTTTCGGGCTAAAGAAAGAAGAATTCCATAGAACAAAATTATGGAATTGAATTGATTTTTTATGTTGTTATTAAATCAAACATGTGGAGTTTCTATTTATAAGTTTCCAATGGTTGTGATTAATGAACACAACCCTTAAAAAATTAAACAAGTGAAGAGGTGTGACCACACCTCTTCATATTGTCACACCTATTTGATCAAATAGGTGCCTAAAAATATTTTTTTAATTTTCATTCAAAAAATAATTTTATTTTATTAAATAAAATTCCCAACAATTGTCATAGCAACTCCAATGAAATTATTAAAATAGGGTATTTAAATCTTTAACCATCATTTTTTTGTCCCGCAATAGTTGGTCTAGCGGTTAGAGCAAGTAAATTTGTGTCAATTGACCTAGTCGTTAACAAGAACTTGACCGCGTGGTTATTTTGCGCTATCGGTATCAATATGTCACTTTTGAATTTCGTTTATTAAATATTTTGTCCTCTGTCAATTTGAAATTTGTTACATCTGATTATAACACTCTAAAGTTTTAGATGAACTAATCGAAATATTCATAGAGTGGAAATCATATCAACTCTTCATGCAATGTTGTTTAAAACTTAAAAGGGATATATAAATCACTTCGAATCCAGAAAAAAGCACTTAAAACGCTATTGACGCTTTAATTATATGATTAACTTAATTGCAAAGTACAGTTATGTGTGTTTTCATGATATGGTTCAAGTCAAATGTCGTCTATTGTTTCTCAATAAAAAAATAAAATAAAAATTCAAATGTCTATTTACTAAAATAGTTTATTGATAAATCATATTATAATTAACAAAAAAATAGTTCAACAAATAAAATCTGAATCTAGAATTAACAGCACCATTTATAGGGAAATGTTTTGTTAATTCGTTAGATACTATGTTATAAAGTATTTTATCAAAACAGTCCCGTAGCTCAGTTGGTTAGAGCGTTGGTCTTATGAGCCGAAGGTCGCGGGTTCGAGCCCCGCCGGGACTACCTTTTTTTGATAAAATTAATATTTGACCTATTTTGAAAATCTTATTTATTTTTAGCCCCAAATTAGTTACTTATTTAGTAGGCAGCGTCGTGGGTTCGAGTCTTGAGACTACACCACCTACATATTTTGAAGTTCTATTTATTTCTTTTTAGCCCCACCATTTTTGATAAAATATATATGGTACCTATTTTGAACTTTTTATTTCTCTTTGATTCCAAATTGGTTACTTGGTAAGAGGGAAGAGTTCCCACATGTGACATTTTTTCCCAATTTCGTGGTTTTTATACTTAATTTAGGACATCAAAATAATTAATATTATTCTTTACAAATATTATAAAATTTTCATTGTATGATTTGTAATCGTGCACTTTTATATTTTTCGTTCCAAGATTGCAACAAATTTCTCTATTCCGAATTTCAAGAATTTTGATTTACGGTTTCTTTTTTGGATTGGAAGTAGATATAAATAATTGGAATTTCGATCGAATTTCAATTATCCAAAAGTTCCGATCTTTTTTTACTAAAAACATATGTATAAGTTTTTTTTTTTACTTAATGCAAACAATAAATGTTTAATTATATATTTGTGTTTTTTTTTTTAAATATGGACGAAGTAACCATGCGGCTAACAGACAATTCCAAATACAACCAAACTGACTACAACAAAAAATTGTCCAACATAGAATAAACAAGAACATGCCAAATATGGAAAAAAACTCTTAAAATAGACACTGTCGAAAATAAATAAATAAAAACGTGAAAATCATGACACCTATGTAGAAGACTAACGTCAAAAGGATGGATATCTAAGCTGGTCTATCCGAATCATCTACTGCAGTGGAGGTACAAGCCAACTCGACATGATATTTCAAGTTGACTAATGCATAAACAACTAGATTGCCATATGATCCAATACTCCGAGATGGAAAGACAGGGTTCCACGTAGCCGTAAGCGACTATGATGAGAATCAAAAGCTTATATATTTTTTTCCATTAGCATGGTATATCTTATTATAGAAAAAATTATGAAAAACAAATCTTAGTTTCTTTTTCTCCACTTGTTTCTTCACCTCGATCACGAAAATTATTGAAAGTTTTTGAAAATTATATGATTTTCAAAATTAAAAAAAATTCCAAAAGTTTTTAGATCTAAAATAGATTTCTAATTTATGAATTATGTGGAATTGGAATTGAAAGTAGTGTTGTACTTGGAAAAAAGTTGCAAAGTTTATTAAAAGACTAATTTTGATTCGCAATGTCCGACTTTCACCATATTGTATATCAAGTTCAAAGTAAGCAGATCACACACAAACAACTACGCAATTGATCCGTCAACACAAATCAATCACACAATCTATGCAAACCCTAATTTTGTGAAAAATTAATAAAGAAGGAATTGTGCAGGAGAAGACAATGTTGACAACAATGTTTTATCCTACATCCACCAAGAGAGAGAAACTTCTTTATTGATTCACAAACGCCTCACGCACACTCAAAAATTATAAGACAAAAAAAATCACTCAAAAAAATCATATAATACATTTATTGAGAGGAACAAAATGAAGTTAAAAAGTACATTAATAATAGACATATATCTCTTATCTTGTCAAATTTGTCTTTTTACTTTTTGCCATTATCTTTTATATGATTCTACTTCTACATGCTTTGCCTCAATTTATGTCGATTTACAATTTTGCACCGTAAACTCAATATATAACCCTAAAATACCCTTTTAGGTTTTCTGAGTTGTACTCATCAGCAATAATGAAGTACCAACCAACAATGCAACAACCATCCAGCAATTGTCACCATCTAAATACTATCCAAATCTTTTTTTCCTTTACTTTTTTATTTATTTATTATCTTTTTTTTTTTTTTGTAAGGTAAGAAATTACAACTAAAATAACAAATTCTTAAGAGGTACAGACAGGGAATTACAGGCTAGGGGACCATGAATTGATAGCTATTAAGTACCATCTTCTTGAGATATTTTTAATTTTACATATATATATATATATATATATATATATATATATATATATATATATATGAGCGGAATTATCCGTTATTGAGATACTACACCTGGTGATTTTAATCACTGGTGTACTTAAATAACTACTTACTAAACACACATGCATTTTGATGTTGGTGTGATTATATGCAGATCAACGATTAATACGATTAATAATCACCCGATATAATTCATCGGGCGTAGCATTAAATAAACCCTGAATTATCAATCCTACTAACAATCGACAAATACTAATCTAATAGTAGAGTATCACCTTATATAAATTTCAAATAAATACCCTCCTAAAGAATCTCAAATTTGCTAAATATTAAACAAATTATTTGTTAAAAAATAAAAATAAAAATTGGTTCTTGAATATAGTCTCAACCAATAGAAATGCAGTGGTGGGTGAGGTATCATAATCTCTATTTTGTCCATTTACAGAATAATCTCCTCAAATCTCTGCCAACCAATCCCAAAAAGGATAAATATATACAGCTATAGAGTTACCAGTAAATGACCTAAAAATGCTACATGTAAAATTAAAAAAAAATAAAAAAATAAAAATCCAATCTTTGAGCAAAAAATGAAACATTTCATTTCACCCCCACCCCCATGGAAAACGACCCCCTATCCGGAGTGCTCCCCAATAACCAAGCAGCGATTGGGATGTAAAAACGACGAGTGGTCGTTTTACCGATGAAATAGAAGGCAGTAAATCAAGAAATGAGTAAGAGAAGTATCGATATCAATATATCATCACATAAAATGAACAAAGAATTGACCATTTCTATACAGAGGAAACAACCTAATTGTTCCTCTCACTTTCATTTGAAGTTAAAGGAGCAATAAATAGCTCAAATCATCATGAACACAGCTATTGTATGTATTTTGCTTGGAATATTCAAAACTGTATGGCCCTATTCCAGCTTGGATTGCATTATTAATTCCCACACAAGATTAGAAAAAAAATAAAAGTCGAGATTTTGTACGAAAATGAAAAACTTTATTTCATTAAAACATGTCTTGTCCCCTCCTGTAATGCTAAAGTTCGTGATCGAATATTAGAAGCTGCATTATTAGTAACTGGACATAGTAGAGTCTTAACAACGGAAAATAGAAAACATAGTCGATCGGACGCGAAACTAAAAGCTGGAGAAGAAAAAACAATTGAAAATAAGAGGAAACGGACGTAGAATAAACGAACCGGAGTTGAAAAAAAACGAGAAAACTAGTGTCGGGATTCTTCACCTCAACGGTAAGTTGCCGTGTTCAGTAAAGCTCACTCAAACTTCTTCCCTTTGCTTTCTTGAAATTGTAACACCTACAAAGTGAGTACATTATAAAAAAAAAATGTATCATAAACCCCATTATTACAAAGTACAATGTGAATAAAAAATAAATCGGAATTGTTAGTGTTATCACCTGTTAATGGGAAAAAATGGAGTCTTGTGAGCTGGACTTCAATGGCGAGAATCGGAGGAAGCAGAGGAAGGCTTGTCTGGATAGCCATCGTGCACCTCTTGGTCACCTTGGATTCGTGCTGGAATGTTGAACCCCGAGAAAGAACCGATGCCGGAACCAAATCCCAATGGATAGATGGGCAGATGGTGGTGGTAGTGTTGATCGGAGCTGGTGGTGGTGGAAGTTGTTGATATGGCGGTGGCGGATGGGTCCATCCAAGCACGAATCGAAGGTGTGTTACTGGACTGAAGGGGTCCCCTCTGTGAAACAAACTGGTTTTGGTTTTGGTTTTGGTTTTGGCCTAAGAGCTGCTGCAGCATTGGCTGAGAAGGCGAATTGAACAAGTAATTTCCACTGTCTCCTCCTCCGCCGCCGCCGCCGGAGTTCCAAGACTGCTGCCTGTGGAAGCGGCTGAGCTCAGCCGCCTGCTGGTGGTGGTGCTCAGCCCCCCAGCCTGAAGTACCGTCGAAACCTAGTGGAATGCCGCTTAACAGAACATGACCTTGAATATGTTGTTCTTGATTTGTTTGTTCTGTGTTGTGGTGAGTAGGGTTCTGCTGATTGTGGTGGTGATGGAGCAAAATTGGGTCTTGAAAAGAGTGTAGAGAAAGCTTCAAGTCTTGGCTATGGCTAGTGTTTCTTGACTGGAGAAAATCGGGAGTTGGGAAGCTGTGGAACTGCTGCTGCTGCATAGCGGCGGAACAGGAACTAGCCACGGCGGAGGCGCCCATCGGAAAGAAGGACTTGATGGTGTCTGCAATGGCGTCCGAGTCCAGCGATGGCGGAAGAAAGCTCGAACTCTGTCCTCTGTCTTCTCCTCCTCCGAGCATTGCCGCCATTGATCTTTTACTCGAAGCGCCGGAAACACTATTAATCATCAAATCATCATGCTGCAAACCAAGCTGGTGGTGGTTGTGGTCTAGCTCCGCCGCCGCCGCCGCCGCTTCATGTTGTTCGAAACTCGAGTTATTGGGTGGCGGCGCGGAACAGTTGGTGGGGTGCCAGGGTGGCAGCTGGGCGAGCTCGTCAATGGAGGATTTAGCCTTCTTAATGAGCCAGTCAACGGCCTTGCTCGGGCGGTCGTAGCCGAGCCGGTCCTGAACGTCGTAGAACTGGATGGCGGTGTGGGCGGCCAACCTCACGCGCCGGTCCCTCGGACCCTTGGCGGTGCAGACTTTACTATGCCGGTCCTTCCTCCCGGTAGACCTCACAATATGCCCGCCTTGCACCTCCACTATCTCCCCCCCACCGCCGCCGCCGCCGCCGTTCCTCAGGCGCACTCGCGACGGCGGATGGCTGCTCTCTGCCATTTTATCGGCCAGTCTAGTAGCATGTTCGGCGGTGGCCTCCAGCGATAAGGAGGAAGAAGGAAAGTACACGCTGCTTTTCTTCTCCGTCTGTCCGTCTAACAATCCTCCGTAAAAATACCGCCGGAAAACTTCTCCCTCCGGATAGCGGCGGTGCTTCTGCGACTGATCTTCTCCTCCCTCCTCCTCTTCTTCCTCCAGACTGAAACCCTCGTCCAGATTTCGATTAATTACCAGTAATCAAAACCCTAATAATTCCGTCAACCTTAAAACAGCGTCGTTTTAAAGGCCCTAACCCATCCTCTTTAATTTTACACAAAGCTTCTGAATGAAGGAATTCCTCTAGCAACCGAAAAAGCTGGAAGCTAAATGAAGAAGTGATTGTTATTTCATAATCGTTATCCAAACAGGGAATAGAGGTTATAATAATATAATATGAGAAAACAGAAGGTAGAAAAAGGTGTGTCGCTGTCAAGGGGCTATAAGAGGGGTGGTGTGGGAGGCAGTGTTTGGGTCAGAAGGGAGATTAAAGATCTCTGTAGAGATACCATCACTGCCCCTTCTGCTTTTCTGCTTCTGCTTCTGCTTTCCTGCTTCTGCTTTTTGTACAGCCTACACAAAACCCCCAAATTCAACTATATTTAAAATAATATTAAATAATAATAAATTAATTAATTAATACAGTGGTGTTTTCTTTCATTCACAACCTAAATTTGCCCTGTCTACTTGCCTACTTGTTTCGATTTCCCACCCCTCAGCTTTCTCAATCCCAAAGCCAATGTTTGCTTCTTTTTGGGAGATATTAATATTAATATTTTTCCTTCTTTATTTTATAAGATTATTTATTTGTTTAAATTATTTAGGGTAAATTACAGTCGCCCTGAAGGGGGCAATTTTTTTTTTGGGGTTGTTTTGTTTTGGAGTTTTTAAAATGGGGTTATTTTTGAAGTAGTAATTAAATTGGTGTTGGCCGCCACTGGGAACGGCGGCATCGGACGGAGACGCCACCCCCGGTGGCTGCACCCTCTGGAGACTCCGCCCCCATGGGCGCTTTCTCCTTTTTAAATATCATTTTAATGTTTAAGATTTTATATTT